TATACATACATATATGTATATATATACATATATATATATATATATATATACATATACACACACACATGTTTATAGTAGTCCTGGTGAAACCTCATTGAAATTAGATTGAGAGTATAAATTGTGGAGGTGAAATCTTGAGTCATTCACTCGTCTTTTCCTGCAGCGGTGGCCATCCCGTCTCCCTCAAACATTGGTTGATTTCCCGCTTGTGGAAAGGACAATGCCAGCATGGACAAAATATGTTCATCTCGGGAATGTTTGGAGTTGATCTTCAGTCGGAGACGTCATTATAAATAGAGAAAAGATTTAAACAGGAAAGAGTGTTGTTGTGTTTTACTTTAAGTAATATTTTTAATGTGATTGTTGACTGTGTGTTTCCATAGCAAAGGAATACTGAAGACATTTTGGTTTTATTGCTGAGAGCTGGATGAGAAGATATGAATGAGATCATGTGTGTATGATGATTATGGAAGCTTAGCTTAGCATAAAGACTGTAAACAAGAGGAAACAGCTTCCCTGGCTCTGTCCAAAAAGGAAAAATTCAGTAATTAACACATTATATATTTTTGTTTAACTCACTTACTTTACAAGTAAGATATACAGTAAGCCAGGCTAGCCTTTTCCCACTGCTTCCAGTCTTTATGCTAAGTGAAGCTAATCGCCTCCAGACACCAGGTCTATACCCAACGTAAGCATGAGAGGGGTATCAATGTTCTCCTCTAACTCACGGAAATTAGAGTATAAGATTGATTTTACTGGAAGTTATATCCAGTTCAGAAAGTGGAAGAAATGACTTTGAAATTAGTAAAAGATCTGAAAGCAAAGAAAGTCTTAAAAGTAAAAGAAATTCCAAGAAAATTCCAAGAGTTTCACTTTTATTGTTTATAAGTAACTTTGTAAAGAAACATTGACAGTAGCCTGTAAAAAGTGTTTTTGCTGTTTTTCCTTTGAAATTATTGATGTTTTTGGTCACTTTGAAACAGTTTTGAAGTCTTCGGTTCTCACTGTGTTACAAAGGCACCTCCGTACTGTAATGGTTCAGACGTCAGAGACAGACTCAGCTGTTTCATGCTGCATGTGCAGAGCTCCTCCTGTGCGGCTTTGATGAATATTTATCAGCTGAAATCCACAGAAGGGCTCTGTGCTAAAACAGAACAAATGAACCTAGCTCACTCTCAGGGAACCGCGGTGGCATCTGTAACATTGAACAATGCCTCAATATCCTCCATGCTTCATTAACTGCTGTATTAATGAGGGGCCTCTCTCCTGCCTGTAGTGCCTGGGCCCCTGCCTGAAGTCCGACCAGCCCCGGTCCGGCCACCGGGACTCCCTGCAGTATACCAACGACGGCTTCCAGAATGAGGGCGACCCGAGCCGTGGGGGTGCCAGGCGCTGGAACAATGTTCTCCCCAGACGGAGCACTTTCCCCCAGGCACGAGGCCGGGTCATCCCCATGGAGAGACGGAACCGCCACTGCTCCTCCTGTGGCGTCTACACCAACCACGTCCCCAAGGGGAGCCCCTCAGCCAGGCTGTCCAGGAGGGGCAGAGGAGACGGGGATGAGTACAGCGCGAGGTCGATCCTGGCCAAGCAGAGGAGGAAGGAGGGCCAGAAGACGGTGTGGTTCAAGGAGAGCGAGGACTCCTCTGACATCGAGGTGGAGATTATCCCAGACACTGTGGGCCGGGTGGAGGAGGAGACTGAGGAGGAGCTGGAGGGGGAGGTGGAGATGGAGGGGGTTGTCAGAGACCCAGCAGCCCCACTAAGAGAGTCTGACGGCGGGCAGGAGAGCCAGGGCACAGAGCCCAGCGAGAGGGAGGACCACGGAAAGGAAAGCAAGGAGCAGGAGGGCTGACAGCAGACGTCAGGGGTCAAACTCGAGTCGGGAGAAAATGTTCACGAAACTGAGCTGTTTGTTTTCTCGTCACTCCTTGGAGACGACAGCCTGAAGCCGAGGTCGCAGCAGTCCAGAATGACACTTCCAACATCTCTGGATATCTGCAGAACCTCCAGATTGATAATGTATTTATTTTCTACTGTGAGTATCTTAGAATACAATATGTTTAAAACTCGTCTCTAGCGTCAGTGAACTATGAGATGAGATTTTTTACTTAACTCTATTACCGAGGTGACAACTCCTTTAAAGGTTAAGTATAGCGTCACCCCACGTAGGTCTTATTTTTGTAGTTATCAGTTTTATTGGTAACACACTGTACTCACTAAATGTATTGCAGCCTTGGTACGACAAAGTCCTGACGGCCCACAGCCCAGGGGTTGGGATCCTCTGGTTTAGATAAAACTGCTTTATTTAAAACATAACTGAGGATCTGACTTCTCTGTAGCAATGTCACCACGTTCCCAAGTCTCAGCAGTTGTTTTAGTGAGTACAATTTTATCAGAACGGATACAAACAACGGCCAAAAACAACACTGAAATAAGATCCAAGTTGTAATAAAGTGGCCTGTTAAACGCTGCAACACAGCTTGACACCACTTTCTAATATGGCATCATTTATAAAGGTTGAAACAAGAGCTGCAACTAACATTTCATTATCTATTAATCTGCTTTTCTCAATTAATCAATGAATTTTTAATTGTTGATAAAAACATCAGAAAACAGTGAAAAGAGCCCAAATGTGTCGTCTCGCTTTGTTCAATTAACAGTTCAAAACCCAAATATATTACATTTAATGTAATTTAAGACAAAGAAATGCAGAAAATTCTCACATTTGAGAAGCCGGAATCGTCGAAAGTTTGAAGTTTTTGTTAAAAAAATTACTGAAACGATTAATCGATCATCAAAATGGATGGCAATTAATTTTTTGACTAATCACTGCAGCTTCAGTTACAACTAATGGCTTTATTAGTTAATAGTAAAGCATTTATTAATGCTTTATAGGGAAGTTCTAAGTCACTGATCTTACCTTTGAGGTAAATTAGATTAGTAAATAGATTTGAGTCTCTTGCTGGTTAATAAAGGCTCAAAGGTTTATGAGTCGTTTGTAATTATGTTGTTAATGTTATAAAGAGCTCTTATAATAATCTGTTTAGTCATAAGTGCTATAAGTTATAAGATGCTCTGCTCTATAAAGCATTAGTAAATGATTTATTAACCATTAATAAACCCGTTATAAAGGAGGCCTTATTAGAAAGTGGCATTTGTCAGGTGTTCCTATTTGTTGTTCACAACGTTTCTTAATTGAATTTTCAGCAAATGTTCTTTCAGTTTACAGTTTATCAACTTGACAATATAAAATTAAAGGAGATTGTCTATATTATCCTCTTCTACCAGTCAGTCAGGGAACCGGCTGACAACCAAAGGGCCAGAAACTGATAATGTGACGATGTGATGATTTCAGTCTCATTCCACTTCCTGTACAAGCTTTACTAAACTCAACCAGAAGTGTCTGGATTTTATATAGTGAAAATATATGAGGACAAACTTCATCTACTGAATACTAAACAGCCGCGGACGTTTTTATGTGGACTATATTATCGAGCATGTTAAGCAAAATAACTACTTTTATGGATAAATCTATGGTTAATGTACAGTTTTCTACATTAAAGTGATTGATTGGGATCGAGGGAATAATAAAGTTTGAAGGATTTGTTGAGTCTCGGGATGGTCTCGCTGGTTAATTCATTTTTTTCCTGCACAAAGTTTTCACACAAGTCGCCTTTAGGAAGTTTTAATATTTAAAAAAGGAAGCAGAATTGTGTTTGTTTGCTTTCTTGCTGAGAAGATTGAAATCACTTTAATATGTGTGCGTTCATAATGGAACTGCAGCTAGCGGCTGCCGTTTCAAGAGGAGCTCCAACAATATTACACAAAAATATCTGTTTCCCATCCACGTGTGCAGGCTCGGTTTGAGTCGGCTCGTCGGCCCAGTTAGGCGGGGATTTGCATCTCCATGACAACCGGGCTACCCGCTCAAAGTAGTGTCGACTGCTTTTAATGATGAATTGTTGAGTGTTGTAGACATAGCTTTATATTTATGTGTTTTTACTAACCTTTTTCTTTTCATTTTTTAAATTATATAAAGTGTCTTTGAGTTTTATTGAAAGTGCTGATAAATAAAATGTATTATTATTTAAGGGTAGAGAGAGGTAGAGAGAGAGAGAGAGGTAGAGAGAGGTAGAGAGGTAGAGAGAGAGAGAGAGAGAGAGAGGGAGAGAGAGAGAGGGGAGAGAGGGAGAGAGAGAGAGGGAG